ACCATGGTCCCTTAGGTTAAGGACACTGATCTGTATCCTCCATTTGTCCCCAACAGCCTGTCCACTTGCGTTCGTTGGCTTAAGGGGAACTAGTAATTCCTTCCCCAGATGTTTTGCATTTGAGGCTACATTAGTTTCCTTATGTGAAGGAAATTAAGCACCAGTAATGTTTCAGGACCAAGGAAGGCTGGAATCCTCAGAAGTCACCGATGCATGGTACTTCCAAGACACTTTTAACAAGAAACATGAATGAGAAGCAATACTTTTTAGGTGGCCTGTAGTAAATAAGAAAACATATTCAATGGCACACAACAGGTGCTAAAAACCTACAGCTGCTTCCTCTCAACCTCTGTCAACTTTCAAATCTGATTAAATCAGATTTCAAACATACTAATCTTTTCCTGGCTATACGTGCATGTTTACCTCTAAGACTGCACGGTCACGATAAGTGTGGTCAGTTTTAAATCCTTTGTATTATTCAACCTTATGTGGCCCTTGAGTTCCTAGCATAGGACCTCAGATATGGAAATTAATCATTAAGTAGCATTGGTTGGAATTTACATTATGGAATATTACAATATGGAATCACTAACCTAAATATGGGGGGAACTAAGAGCTAGATAATAGATATGCTTGAAAGAAATGATGTGCTGGTCTAAATGCATCCTGTCATTCTTTCTTGCAACATTTTTTGTAGGTCATCAGCCCGGCTAAGGAGTCAGCCCCACACCGCTGCCACTGATCTTCCCCTACCTATCACCACCCTTATAATGTTGTGGGGCCTCCACCAGAGAAGACTGCTCAGACACAAGTTAAAGCCAACAGAAAGTCTTTATTAGCAGCTGGTCAGTAACTACACTGGGTGTTCAGGATCCCAGTGTAGCCTTGAGCTCACTCTGGGTGAGCTTTTAAACACAAAAACCATATCACAGGCCAGGCAGTGATGGTGCACGCCTTTAATCCCAACACTCGGGAGGCAGAGGCAGGTGGATCTCTGTGAGTTTGAGGCCAGCCTGGTCTATAGAGTGAGTCCAGGAAAGGCTCCAAAGCTACCCAAAGAAACCCTGTCTCAACCCCCCAAAAAAAATTATGGTGATATTTTATTTGTACTGAAATGTGATTTTATTTGTATGTTAATAAATAAAATTGCCTGGGGGTCAGAGCTAATAGCAAGCCAGAGCAAGAGCTGGATGGTGGTGGTCGTGGTGGTGGTGGTGGTGGTGGTGGTGCACGCCTTTAATCCCAATCACATGACAGGCAGATCTCTGTGTGTTCAAGGATACAGCCAGCATGGAGACACACGCCTTTAATCTCAATACCAACCATAGAAGACCTGGAGGTCTGTATAGACAGGTAGTGACGAGAAGGTCATGTGGTTGGGTTTACAACCAATGAGAAGGCAGAACAGAAAGTCAATAAAAAGATACACAGGAAGTAGCTCTCTTGCTGAGGGGAAGGACAGCAGCGGCAGGAAGGTAAGAAGGCGGTTTTAAGTCTCAGCTCTTAGCTACTGCTCTGACCTCTTGGGCTTTTAACTCTGCATTTGGCTCTGTGTTTCTTATTTAATAAGACTGTTACACCTACAAAAAAAAAAAAAAAAAGCATAGATTGACAGACTTCAATTAACAAGAACAGTTGACCAGAAGCAGAAAAAGCCAAAAAGCAAGGTTAGTACATTTAGAGAAATTCCCAGAACTATGGACTTTGATGGATTGGGTCTTTGTTTTCATTTTGGCAGGTGGTGCTGTCCCCATGCTGAGTTTTATGGCCTGAATGTAATTCCATCATGGTGTCAGTTGTGCTAAAGTCTGGAGCCTATTACAGTGTGTGAGTGTCTTCCACAAAATAGAAAATCACTGTGGGTAGAACCAGCCCCAATTAAATCCCAGGCAGAATGAGGTGAGAGAAAAATATGCAAATAATTTTAACATAATGTGCTTAGTTTTTAAAATCATCTTCAAGGCCTACCTGGAATAGGAAGCTCCAGCAGGATTTCCTAGGGCAGGACCCCTAAACTGGAATGGAAGAGACAAAGGGAGGGTCGAGGAAGGATGGTCCAGGGAGGATGCTAATGTTATTATATTAGCCAGAGCCTGAGGTTTGGGGTGGGAGGGCAGCTCAGTTTGGAGAGAGAACAGAGAACAAAGCCATCTGCGGATAGAGCTGAGGCTGCTCTGTGCCCCCACCCACTACAGCATGGAGCTAGGGTTCAGGGTGTGCCCCCACCCACTACAGCATGGAGCTCAGGTGCAGGGTGTGTTCCCACCCACTACAGCATGGAGCTCAGGTGCAGGGTGTGCCCCCACCCACTACAGC